CTGTTGGATTATCAATAGCCTGATGGAGATGCAACAAGAGCGACTGGGATCAGCGTCACTTCTGAAAAACACGGACATTTAAAACAGGTGGCAGATCCAGCAGCAGTTCAATCTGTCCTCATCATCTTCTGCTTCAATAATAGGCTGCCATCTGAGAGCCGCTGAGATATACAGTGCGCAGGCTCCCCAGCATCAGACCCCAGAGCAACACACAGGTAAGACACGACATTCTGCACCTTTCCTGAATGCATTTTCACTTAGCAAATAACCGGCTGATTGATGGCGATTGATACTTAGGCTTGTTGTTGTGTTTCTGTGTGCATGGAAAAATTGAGTTTGGCATCAGCTGTTCAAACCAAACACTTGGATGAGAGCTGCGCCACAGAAACATCCACACACTCGGGCTTTATGCCGGCCAGATGTGTTTTCCGTCACTTTAATCGATAATTGCCAACGCAGTGCGCCATTCCGAACATATTAAAACAACTAATGAAGCTCTCACACACAAATACACACCGACACATCCAGCCGGACTGCATGCACGCACACACAAACACGCACCGGCACGGATACACCCACGCACCTCTAGCCCACTGGTACATGCAAGTCATGTCCGTAACCCGAACGCCTGTTCGTCGCAAGTTGCAACTTATTAACCTAATGAGGGATGGAGAGTATAGTCTGAGGAGTGGACATCCACCCCGTTTGGCGGATGCAAAGGCATTGCGCAGCACATATTCACCGATAAGACCGGAGCAGCCGCTGCTCAGCACCTTCCACTGTAAATAACTGCCATTTACGTCCACGTATTGGGGATTTACTGTGGATTCACACCGCATTACGCATTCAAACTCCGTGTGTGTGCGCGTGTAAGTGAGTGTGAGAGGCAAAAGTGGCCATTTTGTTCCATTTCCTACTAACACCTGTTGATTTTTTTTTTTTTTTTTTATGCTGGCCAGCCTTGCACAGGGCTTGACACAATCTTGCTATCAGGGTGACTGGGTCATTTGCTTTCATATAATTACTAGGACATCCAGGAGTATAGCCCCCTCCTTCCTCCCCACTGGCCATGCAACTCTGAGCTGCATCTTCACACTTGTGCGCCCTTTATCCCTTGTTCCCTTCCAGTCTTCACTGCTGCATTGCTTCAAAACCACAGAAGAAGCCATATGTTGTGTTCCTTTGCTGGAAAATACAACAATGTAAGACCTCAGGCCTTCTGCCATTCCAATGGCCTTTCGAATGTCGAAATCTCCATAGTTATGGGGTTTTAAATGCACATTTCTTTTAATATTTGGAGGTAAATGGAGTCAGAGTGCAGTCGTCGAGGTAATGGAATTTAAGCAGCGTCGCCACATTATCGTGCAAGGCATCCGAGTCATCTTGTTGAGCGAGAGATGTGCAGATGTGACTTTGAAATCTGGTTTGGCTAATGGGTGTAGATTCGATTCTGCCTCCCTTCTCTTTCACTGCCTCTTTCACTCACACACAGACAGAGCTGCAGTGCTATTCTGAGAGAGTTAGCTGCTTCAACCCACGCACAGAATCTGAGAAAGAGAGAAAAGCAGAACGAGGGAGAAAAGAGGGGAAGGAGGGAGCAAGAGGACTAAAGGAAAGAGGCAGAGACTTGCCACAAGGCGGTTTACAGAATGCCGACTGTAGTCTGCCACATGCACACGCTCACACAAAGGCTGTTCTACAGTTTCATGCGCTTCCTGTTCTAAAAAGCAGCCGATGTACAGTCTTGATTAGCACGCCTCTGATCTTGTGTGCGGCATGGACCGCATTTTTCAGGTCTGTTTGGTTGTGCTGTTTGTGTGATGTGATGTGTTGTATGGGTAAGTGCTGGGAGAAATGTACTTGATTCTGTGCCACCCACACACCGCCCTCCCACTCATGGTCTTCTCTGCATCCATACCTCTGGCTCTTCCCGCTCGCCACAATCTCTTTGCACATTCAAATCATTTTACCCTGCGTTTATCCCTCTGCTCTCTTTCTCTCCATCATTGGCTTTTTAAGGAGAATGTCCCTCAAGCAAACCGATGCGCTAACACACACTCCCTGCTTCCTGCGGTGCACACGGTGCAATTGATGTCCACATGTGCACCCAAAATTGGGCGCACACACGGGTCAATGAGCGATAAGAAGGGGTTGCACGGTTTCATCTAATCTCGTGTCTGTCGTTTGTGTTGCAGCCGACATTTGGCCGACGCATTCCTGGTTTGATAGGCACAAACTCGAAGACGGTTCTGGAAAGGAGCGGTATCTCGTAACAAGGACACAAAGACAAATTCTGTGGGAGATCTCTGCTGGAACCACAGTCAGTGGAGGAGCTCCTGCTTTTTGTTTCTCATTTTTCCACCAGTGAACTCTCCTCAGAAGGTTAGAGGAGCATGTAACTGAAACAAGTGGAGCCCTTGGTGATTTCAGCATTCTGTCTTCCCCATCTGTGCCTACATTCTCAGCTACAGATAGGGACGTTTTGATAATTACATACAATTATAATTTCTGTGGGAGACGGATCTGCCTCTGTCTATTATTGCCAACACCTCCAACACAATAACTTCACACATTTACATATTTCTCAACAAAACTGATAGTCTTTGAACCCCGGAGACGAATCAGGAACAATTTTACTAACAGAGACTTGTCACACGCAGAAGCAATGTGCCATTCATCTCATAACTAATTAGGGATACAGATGACAGACATGGGTAACATTATGTGCCTAAAATCGGACTAAAACCATGGCATTGACCTCGTTTTGCGATATATTTTACAGGCTCATATTAATTCTTTCAGTTCATGCTTACCCCTAATTTTTCTGTTATTACAGACTTTTAGCACATAAGCAGAGCTGTTCTCATTATCACTCACAGCCCAGTCACAGGAACGGCCCATGCCGGCCGAGTACCGATACAAGATAATCCAGCAATGAATAAGATTTAGATGGATAACGTGTCGATATATGAGTGCCTGGATTTGGTTAGGATAAAGACCATGAGCATTAATGGACAGAACTGTCTGTTCCAGACAGAAAAGCACGTGATATGAAGATATATTGATTTGATTCATTTTTCTCAACCGGAGAATAATCTGTTTCAGGAATAATAAGTGCCCATTCTGAATGTACGCAAAGCCAAACCGAAAACAACCAGGCAGAAAGTAGGCAAACAGGCTAAACTTACAAGTGCCACGATAAACACAGGAATGTACAGAGAGGCCATATTTTATTGAACTAACGCGCTACTAATTTCTAGTGGACTCTGTGGATACAAAAAAATGTTTAAGTAAGGCTTGCATTTGATATTTGTTTATTCATTAAATGGATTTTGTAAGACAAAGCATTCAAAATCAAATGTATAGATGTTGTTAAACTAAAATTTTCCCTTTTAGTGTTACCTCTTATTTAATTCAAGGCCTGAAGATGAAGTCATTGTGGTTTCAGAGTTCCTTTTTGGAAGGCCTTTGAAACTGTTTTTCTACTGTTTCTACCGAGAAACACACAAAAATTTCTATGATCTGGTCTGATTTTTATCCCTCTTGAGCGTTTACTGCCATTATTACTCAATACGAATACTGACACATGCTAAAGCCAGACGCAAGCATCACTGACTGAAACTACTGATACATCATCAATATCCAGTAGGTTGTACATGCTACATGAATCCTTCACACGGCATTTTAGTGGGTTAAACTGCAAAAGCGGATACAGCGTTGTAACGGCATTGACTCAACAACAGAAAATAGATGTCTTAGTCATGTAAAAATGACGCCCACCACCAATCTCAGAGTCCTCGCTGTCTCCCTGCTCTCCCTGCTCACTGTCCCACTTACCACCGCTGTGGAGACCCCCCCTCAGCTCACTGACCGCTCAGGGACAACGTTTACCGAGCAGCCCGACACTGACTCCAGCCCCTCTCTCCTGCTCCTCGCTGTTCAGGCCAATATCAGGCCAGCTTCCCTCCGAGGCAGGCCCAAAACCTCAGAGGAGCTACCTGAAACCTCGGAGGGAGTTCTTGAGGCGCCTCCAAGACCCCTGCCCCAGGTAATGTTCCCCAAGAATGTCACCTCATCAGAGGCCCTTGCACCGCCCCTAGGTGCAGCCAAGGTAGCACCAGTTCCACCACGCATGATGGACCCCTGGATGGATGTATGTCGGGGTTACTATGACGTGATGGGACACTTTGACAGCGCGTTCAACTGCTCCAAGGACAGCTTCATCTACTGCTGTGGAACCTGCCACTACCGCTTCTGCTGTCCAGAGCGTAGACGGCAACTGGAGCAGGACATCTGTAAAAACTATGACTCTCCTGACTGGGCCAAGCCACAGACAGAAGCCATGATCATTCCAGAGGAGCTCGGCCTCGACCCAGACTTTGACCCGCTCAAGCAGCAGAGTCACAACACAGGCTTCGTCATCGGAGGTGTGGTGGTGTTCATGGTGGCTGTCGCCGTGGGCATCAAGGTGGTGTTCAACAAGGTCCAGCAGGAAGCTAACCAGAGGGATCTGAATATGCCCAGGTGAGGCCCAGCCCCTCCTTTTCTGTTCTTTCATAACGTCTGACTGCTGGATTTGTTGCTCGATTCTGTGTATGAATTGTGTATTCAGGATGTATTTTCAGGACTACATTCTGGGCTCAGAATAATGTTATTAGTCATCAGCTGAAACATATTTGATCTTCATTAAGAAGCTGCTGCAGAATTCACCGTTGCTTTAATTCCCTCTGTGCCCTCTTATCTCTCTGCAATTAGAATGTGCGCTTTCGTTATACAGGTTACACTTTTCTATCTTGGCTGTGGAGGATGATAGCTGTAGATCCATGATAAATACCTTGATTTACCTTTTAAGTACGATTATACCTACACTACTATCCAGACATAGAAAGGCGATCTTGACAAATGGAGCAAAACCTGATTCGGCAAACAGAAAACACATTAATGGTACGAAAATAACCAAAAATATTCTGGTTTTGTGATGAGGAGTACACTGTGGTCATTGTGCTTTCCTTTTTGCATGTGACTGGTAGAGCCCTTGTTGACATGTTGCGGCACCAGTCGAGTCCGGTCCAGCAGGATGAGCGAAACAACAGCGTGGCTCTGGCTGTAGGGGATGGACAAGGCACACTAGGGAGGGCTCCTAAAAATCTTTACGCCCCAGGACTGCCCAGCAAGGACAACAGATGTGAGACTCCACGGCACAGTCAGAGCTGTAGTAACAGCATCTTTTGCATGCGGATGCACGCTCTGCTCATTGTCTGTAGATGCAAGATTTTTTTTATGGCCTCACCACTATATCACTATACAGTATCTTTGAGACTAAATGCGACACGAACAAGATAAGAATCCCCAGTGGTGGTGTGCTAAAAAGAATTTGACTATGTTTTTCCTTTTTTTATTTTATTCCCATCACTACAACAAGATTTGTCAGACTAAGCGTTGATATTACTTCACTGCTTTGAAATCAAAGTATTTAAATGTACTTAAATGTATAGATAATTACATTAAGATTAAGTGATGATAACACATACATGTCCACGTCTCAGTATTTATTTTTTCTGTTAAAGCGTCATTCAGCTTGAAACTGCCTGACATCCATTTTGAGAGCTGATTATCTTATTTTCCTTTGACTTACAGTGGGCAATCTGCAGCACAATTTCATCCACTCGTCAGGCTCCAGCCCCAAACACACCGCAACCATCGGTAAGGCAGCTGCTCGAATCGGAGCCTCCATGTAAATTACATGTAATCACAGTAATTCTTAATTTACATCATTCACTTATGTTTTGAGCTAAAAAGGAGACTCATTCATGTCAACAATGATAATGATTATCATAGCTCCGGTTGCTTGTGTCAGTGTTGAAAAGCAAGATGAATCCTGCTTCGGTGAGCGTTAGTGGATTCACACCCTGCGACGTGCGGCGCGGTACATATCCAGAGGAGCAAATCTCATTTAACACACAGTTGTTTTCCTCCTGTGGTCTCTGTAGAACGCACCCCTCGCATGAACAATGCTCAGCTGGCAGCTGGAGGCACCCTGCTCTCCAGTAAGCACAACAACACCAAATCCCAGCCCTCCTTCCACCACTCCTTACACAACCTGGCCCAGCTGCCACCATCCTATGAGAGCGCCACCAAGCCTGAGCTCAACAGATACTCCTCACTGAAACGCCTCGGTAAGTGTGGTGGTTTCTAAAAAATGAAACACCTTCTCACTCTTCCCACAGCGCCGTTTTCTGACGCTTTTTCTTAAGCACCGAAGCATGGTGACACTCTCGAGGCTTTGCCGTAAAACTCAGAATGCTTTGTAATATACTCGTGTTGTTGTCTTGTTTTGAATTTGATAAACAATTCAGAGAACTGTTGTTTGGCTTCCAGAAAAAGGTCTTGATGAGTACTCATCTGGTTACTGCACCACCAAGCGCAGACCTCATACAGCCCAGCCAGCTCTCCAGTCCTCCCAGCATCACCTCCACTGGGGGGGAGACTACACCCTCAGTGGGAGAGGAACCCTTCCAAGGCACGCAGTCCGTCCTTGGATTCCGCCTCCACCCTCTGGTATGCCTGCCTCTCCCACCCCCAATCCTTACCCTCTGGATCCCCCGGAGCCGCAGTATAATCCCAACTACGAAACTCTGTCCAAGCCGAGAAAGGTCAAGTCCACCGATCAGCTGCTCAACACGGGAGACCTCCCGGCCAACACCGGGACCCTGTCCCGCCTGTCTAAGAACCAACAGCACCAGTACTACAAAGCCATGGCGGCCTCCAACAAGAATTCCAACACGCAAACCCTCACCAGGAAGACGCAAGACAGGCAGGAGAGGCAGGAACGGCTGCTCATGTCCCCGGACCATTTGGAGGAGAGGATGGGGGTCGGCGGCATGGGGGTCGTGGATCCATACGCGCACACAGGGGGGGGTGTCCCCACGCTGCCCCGGCAGCAGAAGGCCCAGTCCCAGCAGAACGTCTGCGCCACGCCCTCCCTGGACCGCCACCACATGATCAAGATGAACTCTCATCCCACGTCTGGACGAGAGCAGGAGAGGAACACGACGATGACATCGCACATGAGTGGGGGCGTTGGTTGGGCCGGGGAGATGCCTGGAGCGGGGGTAGTCATGGGAACGGGAACACTAGGAGGTCACAGCGCCAGGAGGATGGCTTTTGCAGCAAAAAGGCAGAACACCATTGAGCAACTACATTTCATACCGGGAGGGGGCGGTGGGGGGTCCGCGGGAAGCGGAGGGGGCAGTCAGGGGATCAGGACGGGGAGCAAGAATGAGGTGACAGTGTGAGGCTTGTGCCTAGAGAACGGCCATCAGTTGAATGGGAACAGGTCACCTTTTTGCATTTATCTATTAGACATAATAACAAAATATAAAACTAGAAGTATAGTAACAGTATAATGTGTTTAGGCTATTCAAATTGGTGTTCTCTTGTAATCAAATTAGCTTGAGTATAACAACTTATGAAAGTAAAATTTAGGTGGGGAACAACTCTTCCTCTTTTGTGATAGCCTGCATCAGCCATATTTTGTAACAGAATTTGCCATATTGCCATATACAACAGTGCCATTACTCGAAAGACTGACTGGACATGTGAAAAGAAAACCCACAGAGGAGCTGTTCATGATTTAGTTTTATATGTGTTTTTCAAAAAGTACTCAGGAGCCATATTAGATAGGAAACCAGAAAATATAAAAAAAGAGGTTTGACAAGGCAGAGGACCACGTGGAATATTTCATAGCAGAACGGAAGAGCGAGCCACTACCTGGACTGTCGAATTGCTCGGCTGAGGCCGCCATTACTGCATTAGACTGGATCTGATTAAGGAAACCCCCCGCTAACAGGATGACTCTAAAAGACCTGTGTGCCTGTGTTTAAGGATTTCCGAGATCTCGCACTCTGCCGAACAAACCTCGTCCTGACACAGGGAGACTGAGCCCAGCTTGTTGCTTTCTCCGTAAGTGAGCGGACAAGGTGAACGGACTCCACACCTGATTTAAACTGCGGACGTACCCACGTTAACAATCTGATGCCTGGGTTGCCTAGTTTTCCATGTGACCTTAGATTAAATTCACCTGAGGAGCTCACACTTTGATCACTGTTACGCTACAGGAGTGTCAGCTGATATTAGACCACGTTCGGGGTGAGATTTCCCAAATGATCCCAGTTACAGATCAGGGCCTAGCTGTAAAGATAGCGGACTACCAAATATATCAGAGCCATTGAATTTTACAGTACTCGAAGATGTTGCAACAAACTTACAAAATCGAGAGACGGAAGGAGAGCGTGCGTCTCAGCATACCTTGAAAGAGGTGGTTTACGAAGAGCAAGGGTTTCTCTACAGAGCACAAGACAACGGAGCATGACGCAGAGGTTGCACTTACACAACTGTCATTCAAAGCCATTTCGGAAATACAAAAGAAACACCACAGAGGAAGCTGGTCTGACAATCACCACTTAATTATTATCACCAGGTGGCAAATTACACAAGTCGGTGATGTTTTGTACAGTCAAAGGATTGGCTTCACAGCAAGCCAGACACCTCAGGAGCGAGGGCAGCGCCAGGCCTTCCCCTGCGCGGCTCCGGGTGCCGCGAGAGACTCGGATGGTGAGGAAGCCCTTCCCATCTTCAGGACAAAGACCTTGCTGTATCATAGTGCACTTCAGCCAGTATAAGTTTAAAAAAAAAATTAAAAAAGGATTCAAAACATTTAAAAAATATCTTCATCAATAACAACGCTTATCAATACTAAGGGCTATCCTATCCTATATACTGTAGTATGTGATATCTGTGGTCCATATAAAATTCTCTCTCTTTCTATTGATTTTGTGTTGATATTGTCATGACGTATTAAGTATTAATGTGTACAAAAAACAAGAGCAATTTAAGCACAGTTCAAAGAGAAACACAGAGACAAAACTTTGCACAAATCAATCCCCTGATATTTGCACCAGATACAGACGTGCTAACGCGTTCTGTCCTTAAGGTTTACATTCAGTATGAGCACGGCTGAAAGTGTGACTGATCAATGGAGGGTACTGCGTTGCGAGGATTTTTTTTTTTTCTATCAAGCGAAATCAGAGATGTTTACACAGATCAAGGAAGGAACTGCTTGGTTTTTGTTCAGTCATGTGTTGGAGGAAACAGAGATGAAAAGCTGAAGAACAGAAACACAGATTACATTTGGACAATCTTCCTACACACAGTGCTAAATGTAGTTGTTTATAAATATGATGGAGTGTTATTATTAATGATTATTATAACTGTTATGGTTATTATTAACAATTATCTTATGATGTGATGTTCTTTTACTTGGTGGGATTTAAGTGTTTATTGTTTTTAGATTACTAGCATTCTCATGACTAGTTGGTTTTTCATACATCTGGTCATAAAGTTTATCAAAACATTCCAAATCTCGATGCATGCCAGCTCCATTTCATTGAGAGGCATTGACAGCATGTCTGGATTTTAAGGTCATGGATGCTTATATGGCCATTTTTCCAGCTGTGTGTAGTGTGCCTAGACATCAGCCTTATGACTTGTTAATCTCAAATGATTTCATAGGTTTTCACTCTGGAACAAAAAAACATGTATTGAAAAAATCTGCAGCCTTCTAAATGTATGTGTAGACAGCCAGTTAAGGAGTGAGGGGTGAGTTTGGGATGGGCTACAGACAGTCTTTTGTCTCTTCTGCAGCAGCCTGACCAACTAACTAGCCATGGGTTGTACAGGCTAAACCCATGGCGCCGTAATGTTTGTATGTTCGAATGAATGTTTATTACGCAGGTGGGAGAAAACCAGAGGTCCAGGGGAAACCTGAAAGGTTTGAGTGCAGTGTCTTTTTTCAGGGAATTAGGACAGATGACATACAGTTGTACTAGATTTTTTTTAATAGAGCCACAAAAGGTCTGTAGCAAAGTCTGTAATAACTCACAAGCCATATCCATCTAAACTCATTATCACAATTTTATAAATGGTTAATCTAATTTGTGCAAGTATTGTATTTTGTATAGCTAGTACAATCAGAATATTTTGAGTGATCTCTTCGACATTAATTTGAAGATTTAAAAAAAATTATGTGTTAGTAATTAATGAATTGTACAGTGCCAAATTCATAACATTTTATTGTCTTTTTATTGCTGTAGCCTCCTAGATGGCTACAGCTCCTTTTTTTTCACCATGGGGAACTAATACACAAAACAGGTATCTTTTCTCAGAGTGAAATGAATGAACATGGTTTGTTTTTACCATTATGAGGGAGAGATAAATTAAATCTCTAAAGAAATTTAGTAGGAGAGATACTTAAAGGCCACTTTAAATGGATAGGGAACATGTCCAGAAATGACATTTAATGGATTTATTTTCATGCCTGAAAATGTCAATACGACCCTTTTGTTATTGTTTAATGCATTGATCCCCTTGGATACGGCAGTGAATTACGAAAATTTGTATAATAAAGTTGGTGGGAAAAATGTTTAGTCATTTATTAAAGTGTGTGTGAGTTTTGTGACACGTGCAGTTTCATAATAATTTAAGGTAAAATAAGGAGTTTATCATTCAGAAGTGTGTTATTTATTAATTTAATCCTCCACAACAAGAGCGGCTCAAATATTTTATACAATGATTATTCCCAATAAAGGCTTTTTTTGTCATGCAGTCATACACATTTTCCCATTCATCTGAAAAAGCATGTTGCAAGAGTATATATATATGTCAAAATATGTCAAATTAAAACCTAGTAAATTGTTGTTTATTTTTCTTTTTTATCTAACTTAAGATATTTAATCTTTATCTTTTTTATTTTATTTAATTCAGTATAAATTTACTTGACAAATGAGCAAAAACAGCATCAAGACTTATGTGATTGTGATTTCAATCAAATTTTCATTTAAAAGCATCATGTTTGAAGAATGCCTTTTGCTACTTGGAAATGACCTAGTGATTTTTGATTTGTCAACAAAATTGTGAAAACTAGTTAAAAAGAAAACATTTCCTTAAAAATACATAGGAAGAAATTTGCATTTTTGTCTGACTTCAGTGCATTAAACCATTCAAATGAAGTGGAGCAAATTTAGTGAATAAAGAACAATGACACAGATCTTACCTGGAATTGGACTGGTATGAATATCAGAAACATATTTTCTTATCATACGTATCAGAAATTTACATTTCTTTCAAGGAAGTAAATGCACACCTTCATCTTTGACCGAAATTTGAAAGGTTTTATTTAGACAGCTGTCAGTCCAAGTGCCAGGTGATGTCGGCTTGTATGCCTGCCTTTGGCAAAGCTTTCACCGTCACAGCTAATATGACACGGATGACTTTAAAGATACATACATTCCGTTAAACACTAAATCTTTTCAAAAGACGCCTATGAACATTGTAACAAAATGGTGTCACATTTTCACATTTCACAGAGATGCATGTTTGGGATATAATATAATATAATATAATATAATATAATATAATATAATATAATATAAT